GCGAAACAAAAGTAAGGACGAAACAAAAGTAAGGCGAAACAAAAGTAAGGTGAAACAAAAGTAAGGGAACAAATAAGTGAAACAAAAGTAAGGGAAACAAAAGTAAGGCGAAACAAAAGTAAGGTGAAACAAAAGTAAGGTGAAACAAAAGTAAGGTGAAACAAAAGTAAGACGAAACAAAAGTAAGGCGAAACAAAAGTAAGGCGAAACAAAAGTAAGGTGAAACAAAAGTAAGTTGAAACAAAAGTAAGGTGAAACAAAAGTAAGGTGAAACAAAAGTAAGGTGAAACAAAAGTAAGGCAAAACAAAAGTAAGGCGAAACAAAAGTAAGGCGAAACAAAAGTAAGGCGAAACAAAAGTAAGGTGAAACAAAAGTAAGGTGAAACAAAAGTAAGGTGAAACAAAAGTAAGGTGAAACAAAAGTAAGGTGAAACAAAAGTAAGGTGAAACAAAAGTAAGGCGAAACAAAAGTAAGGCGAAACAAAAGTAAGGTGAAACAAAAGTAAGGCGAAACAAAAGTAAGGTGAAACAAAAGTAAGGTGAAAACAAAAAGTAAGGTGAAACAAAAGTAAGGTCGAAACAAAAGTAAGGCGAAACAAAAAGGGTGAAACAAAGTAAGGTGAAACAAAAGTAAGGTGACAAAGTAAGCGAAACAAAAGTAAGGCGAAACAAAAGTAAGGAACAAAGTAAGCGAAAAAAGTAAGGAACAAAAGTAAGGTGAAACAAAATAAGGTGAAACAAAAGTAAGGTGAAACAAAAGTAAGGTGAAACAAAAGTAAGGTGAAACAAAAGTAAGGTGAAACAAAAGTAAGGTGAAACAAAAGTAAGGTGAAACAAGGTGCAAAAAGAAGATATAGTAGAACAATTCAGATTATATTTGGTTTATGATGTCTTAAGATCCTGAAGAACTTCACAAAGTTGTGGAAAGTTTAAAAAAAGATCACCAGTGTCTGTATGTTATTTTATGTCAAGAAATTATAAAAGAATTCTTAAATGCAAAATTTAATACACGTAATGGAGGGATTTTTTTTTTAATCGGTGCTACTCATTCGGGTAGGCGGGTATGGGTTTCGTATAATATCCTTGTGGTATCGTATAATAAATCCTTGTGGTATGTTATATTCCTTGTATCGTAAATTATCCTTGTGGATCATAAATTATCCTGTTGTGTATTTATCTTGTGGTATGTATATTATCTTGTGTATTTATCCTTGGGGTATCTTTTTATCCTGTGTGTATCATATATAGCCTGTATGGTATCGTATATTATCCTTGTGGTATCGTATATTATCCTTGTGGTATCGTATATTATCCTTGTGGTATCGTATATTATCCTTGTGGTATCGTATATTATCCTTGTGGTATCGTTATCCTTGTGGTATCATATATTATCCTTGTGGTATCATATATTATCCTTGTGGTATCGTTATCCTTGTGGTATCATATATTATCCTTGTGGTATCGTATATTATCCTTGTGGTATCGTTATCCTTGTGGTATCATATATTATCCTTGTGGTATCGTATATTATCCTTGTGGTATCATTATCCATGTGGTATCATATATTATCCTTGTGGTATCATTATCCTTGTGGTATCATATATTATCCTTGTGGTATCATTATCCTTGTGGTATCATATATTATCCTTGTGGTATCATTATCCTTGTGGTATCGTATATTATCCTTATGGTATCATTATCCTTGTGGTATCATATATTATCCTTGTGGTATCATTATCCTTGTGGTATCATATATTATCCTTATGGTATCGAAAACAAGGATCACGTTCTCCTAACCTTGAATATGCCAGCAATCACTAGCGTACTACCTGGGGGGGGGTATTCCGGGGATCAACGCCCCCGCGGCCCGGTCCATGACCAGGCCTCCTGGTGGATCATGGCCTCATCAACTAGGCTGTTACTGCTGGCCACCCGTAGTCAAACGTACGAACCACAGCCCGGGTGATCCGTCACCGACTTTAGGTATCTGTCCAGTTCCCTCTTGGTAATTCCCCTTATAGTTGGTGGGAAGCTGTTGAACAGTCTCGGGCCCCCGACATTTAGTGTGTTTTCTGTTAGTGTATTAATGGCGCCCCTACTTTTCATTAAGGGTATGTTGCATCGCCTGCTAAGTCTTTTGCTTTCGTAGGGAGTTATTTCTGTGTGCAGATTAGAGACTAGTCCCTCCAGGATATCAAGGTGTAGATTATCATGCATCTCTCGCCTACGCTCCAGTGAGTACAAGTCAAGTGCTTCCAAGCATTCCCAGTAGTTAAGGTGTTTGCTGGTGCTATGTATCAGGATACATAGCACCGGTACACTAGTGGTTGCTTAATCCCTGAGTCTCAGCACAGTCTTCTAGTGATTGCTAACCACAAGTATAAAACATCACTGAGTGTTTACCACTACCTACGGTATTCCGGTAAGTGGTACTCACTATAAGTCAGTGTTGCTTAATCACTGAGTGGGTCATAACCCGACTAACACCTGCGTCAGGAGACACTTTCTCCTCCTAATAAACAAAAAACTCATTAATATGCATTATGCACATTGAAGGAACTCTCGAGTTGCATATAAATATTCGCAGCCTCAGTCTTTCCCAAAACGTTGAACCCAGAACTAAGAGAAGGTCGGCCAGGCGCGCGCACACACACACACACACACACACACACACACACACACACACACACACACACACACACACACACACACACACACACGCACACACACGCACACTCACACTCACACTCACACTATCTCTCTTTAGACAGAGTTCATTTTTTCGGGCTAAGAAATTCTATACTTCCTCTTCACATTTTACAACATTGCGCAAGCAAAACTTTATGGTGTGCTGTATCATCCTTCAGGATGTCACCCACAACAGGCCACTAACACCGAGGTACCGTCCGTTAAATTCATCAGGATGTGTCCTCCTTTCCCCAGGATGACTGAGTCTGCTGTAAGAATTTTTGTTGTTTTACGGGTTACTATCCTTTGGTTTTCTGATCGGATATATTGACCGGCGGTCAGTGATTTCCCGGTGCATAGATGACGGTACCCTTGAGTTACCTGCTTAAAATATCATGTTGGATTTTGCACTACGAATTGTCATTATATCTTGTTCAAATTACAGTTATACACCAGATGTATTTCGGTAGCTGCTCGATCTGAGGAAGGTATCCCCATATTCCATAACCCCAGTCCCCTGTGCCTCACTGCACGCGACTGGAATAGTGCAGTGTGGCGTAAATTGATACTGCAGGTAAATATTTGCGTTGAAGATCTGAAGGGAGTCAGAAGAGACATTGACAAGTCATCACAGGGAAACTAACATCCAAATTTCTTCAATAAAAGTGGCAGATTGGGACATGCACAGCAAAATTTGAATTCAAACCTTTCCAGGAGACCAAGGACACCAGTATCCTAAATTACACAAGATCATTAAGCTTGCAGCCGTTCAGAAGCTACATTATCAAGTTATCTTTATAGAAGAGATGAAACTAATCAGATCCAACATAGAAATTATCGCATGAAAAACAGTCATTAAATTTATCCACTTTCCTTCCAAAATACCAAACTGGAACCTACATGGCCAATATCATACCAAATATATTTCTAAGTAAGACTGACCAATTTTTAAGGAAGGTTTTCGTACCGTAAGTAAGTTTTATGTAAGCTTGGTGTACATAATATATAATTTTTTAACGATAGAATTGAGGGCATATAGATGTTAAAGGTATATTAAATTACATTAAGTTGGTTTAACCGAGAATAAGAAAATAGTTAAACACTGTGACTTATCTCTGTTCACAAAAGATATCTTTCAGTCACTTTACTGAAACCACTTTAGTAATTAATGAAATTGGGCACATAATAACTTAAGTCATTGTAACTTCAAGAGATTGTTTACTTCGGGGAAAACACATCAGCACTGAAAGTTTGAAGCTGAGCCAAAGATGCATTTCCCAGTTACTGCACAGAATCCAAAAAACTTTTGGAAATTTGAAACCGATTGGATGAGTGAAATAAAATCGAAAAGTTGAGGGAAAAATAAAACAAAGGGAAAAATCGGGGAACTTTATAAATCTTCCTCCTTCGTGGACACATTATAGTAATATATTTTTATTCTTTTTCTTAGTTTAAATACTAAACTCATTCACTGGGCAACTGTAAAAAAAAGATTTAGGCACTGCAATTTTGTGAAGGCGATGTTTTGCCTGTGGAATTGAAAACGATGGTCAGACCTTGACACCTTTGGCCGAGGGAAGTATCAGAGTCATCTATTCCGTTTAATTAGGATTTAATACTTAGCTGTATGTAAAAAGAAGTGTCAAACCCCTATCCTCGCCCCACACACACACACACACACACACACACACACACACACACACACACACACACACACACACACACACACACACACACACATACACACACACACACACACACAATAGCCACAAAAATCAGTACATGGGAAGAACGTACCGAAAAGATGTTTTACCTTATTTGTTTTAAGGCTGTCTTACCTGGCTTTTATGATTAAATTACTGTGTTTTACCCTTGTGGCTTACTGAAATCCTTCTGAAATAATTTATTCATAAGAAAAATCTTAATTAAGCTTATTACCCTAAAGCTGAGTCAACACATCATGTACTGCTAGGTGAACCGGAGAGCAGGAGTAAGAAAAGCTTTGCCTATTCCTCTTGCCTTGCCTGTTAACCTTCCAGGATCTTTAGATTATGAAAAAAAAATGCTCTTCTCTCTCTCTCTCTCTCTCTCCCAAGAACACTATATTACCCACCTTTTAGAATTAAAAGCGTCTATAAAGTCACACGTTAGCAAAATATTTTTCTTTTATTTTCCCTTAAGCCTAAGAATCAAATCATTTAAGCTAGCAAAATATTAAAAGTTTTTCTCTCCAGATAACGAGAATTTTCATATTTTCCTCATATTTTCCACGGTTTCCCCTCCACTAATGACGTGTCTCCGTGTCCGTGCAGGTACCCCCCGGCAGCACCAACGGCAAGTACCGACTTCGTCTGGAGGGGAACGAGATCGGTGGTCTGACAGGGTCTTCCTTCATCAACGAGACAGTGCTGGTGTTCAGCACCCGGGGAGCCACAGTACTTGTCCAGACGGATAAATCCATCTACAAGCAGGGAGACACGGGTGAGTGGGGGAGGGGAGGTGGGTGTCTAACTGTGGGAGTCTAACTGTGGGAGTGGGTGGACATGTTTCCATTTATAAGAGTTTAACTGTGGTCCTCAAATAAAGTTCACAGTGTATATATGCGTGTATTCGTATATATGTGTGTATAATTATTTCACAGGGTATATATTGTGGCAACGTTTCGCTCTCCAGGAGCTTTGTCAAGCTCATAGGGAACAGGTGATATAACATACAAAATATCCACAGTGAAAAGAATAGTAAAAATAACAGAACAGAAAACTTATGAGGCTGAGATATCACCTCCCATATGACCCAATACGTCAAGCGTGAGAGTGTAATCAAGATTTGGTCTGGTCACAATCAAATAAAATTTATGTGAGACATGGCAGGCATGTTTAAATTTGTTACAAATTCCATTCATTATAAATTAGTGTAATTTATTTAACCTTGAACTAATATTCATATTGAAATCCTAAATATTTTTCTGAAACTTAATCCTTTTATATATCGGTCAACAATGGACGTTTCTGATACATCTTTCTTGGTGATGGCAACCTTCAAAGCAGTTGTGTTCTCATGTTTAAAATACTCCCTTGTTATCACAACTTTCCAGGCAGCAGAGATATAAATAATTTTCTGGCCTGACACAATCAAAACACATCTAAAGTGTTGGACTCTCCTCAGCACACAGAATGTACTCACTATGACGGAGAAAAGGAGATACGATAATATATAGATGGAAAAATACCTGAAGGGCAGATCTCTAATCTACACACTATCATAACTACTCAAGAGTGACAATCCCGAGAAGAATTTTGGTAGAATTAAGGCAGAAGTATCACAGATTCAATAAAAAAAATTGTCATCATCCGAGGTACATGAATCTCAGTCTTTTACCACCATGTATAATATTACCGAAACAGAAGTGGAAATCTTCAAAAGGATATTAGGTAAGAATGTGCAAAACGCAATGACATCAGCCTAGTTATGATTATAATCAGCAACAGCCTCGTTGACCAGGCAGCCGCCAGAAACCGTACCTTGAACTAGACTGCAAAAGTACAACTCTGTAAATAGTTTAAGTGTGATCTGTCGTCACCCATGACAACGGTCTTTAGTACCGGGGAGTAACACTTACCCAGTAATATGAAAATGTTTATGTATCATAAAAACATGATAACATTTAAATGTTGTATCTTCCACATTTCAACATTCTCCTGCCAGAACATTTTCTGGTAAAAGTCCTTCCCACTCAAGCACTTTTATTCCTTTATATAAAGTCCTTCAACCCCTCGGTTACCCGAGCCAGTAAGAGTTTAACTCTTGAGTCTATGCTGCTCCTCTGTCAAAAGCTTTGGTTAAATTCATATAAACGAGACGAGCAATTTCTTCTTTTTCTTTTCAAAAACTTTCTTTACAACAAGAGAAAATGCGACATTTTTTTGGGGGTGTCTGAATAGTCTTCGAATCAAGCTCGTCCGCTCACCAGTGGAATGAAAGAAAGGTTGAGTTCAACTTTTCAGACCATGTAAGAGAAAACTGCAACCTTTGACTCGGCTTTTATTTCCACAAATATGTATATTCAAACATCTCTTCACCACCTTTGTTAGTGCCGCTGTTATCTGCTCCTAAACCTGGGCTTCTGTCCTTAGCGAAGCTTCTCCCTGGTCTTCCTTTGAAGGGAGATGCATCGGTGCTGGCGAAGAGCTCTTCGTGCAGTGAACCGAAGCGGGATCCAAATGACTTAAATGGGACAACAGTGAACAATAGACTAAGTTGCGAAACAAGCTTTTATTGAGGCAGTTCCGTGTGGAGCTTTATCAAGTCACTATATAATAAAGCTCTACACAGAGTTAAAATATCAGATTTGCACCAACATCAGCGTTAATATTTTGAAATTGATAAGATGATGCATTCTTCAATTATTGAATGGAAATCAGTATCACTAATAAAACTGGCAGACTGAGACTTACGCGCAGCTAACCTTTCCTGAAAAACTCACCAGAGCTGAAAATTTAAAGCCAATCAGGAGAGACATTCTCCAGTTATGGCTCGGATTCCAACGATTCTAATTTTTATAAACTAAGTTAGTATATGGACAAATTAGAACACACACGAACTGTACTTAATAGATACAATATTGTTCAGACGAGACGTCGGCCATTAAGTATTAGAGCCGTTCAGAAATGGCAGACTTAAACGAATCTAAAGTGATTTACTGGGAATAAAAAAAATCGCCATTTTATGCATAAAATTTACAGTTATGCACCTTCAGTCTTGAGTTTAATTCTCCACCTTCGTCGAAATAGGTGAAATCTGTTTTATATGTTTTTAAGCCAAGCAACAGGGCGTATGGGAAGTTATCGGAGCCATTCTAGTGGTGGCCTGGTGGTTAACGCTCTCGCTTCACACGGCGAGGGCCTGGGTTCGATTCCCAGCCAGAGTAGAAACATTGGGCGTGTTTCTTTCCACCTGTTGTCTATGTTCCCCATCAGTAAAATGGGTACCTGGGTGTTAGTCGACTGGTGTGGGTCGCATCCTGGGACACTGACCTAATTTACCCGAGATGCTCAGCATAACAAGTGGCTTTCTATGTAGTAGTATGTCATTGTTGTCAGCTAGGACTGTATACCATGTACATGTACTTGTAGTAAATAAAGATTATTATTATTATTATTATTATTATTATTATTATTATTATTATTATTATTATTATTATGCTGGGAATGGCTTTTGCAACTTTGGTCATAGACACTTACGCTTCCCAGTTACTCTAAAGACTCTTTCCCGAGATGAAAATTTGGAGCCAATCAGGTGAGGCTTCTTGTTATCAACTAAATATTAACGAAGAGCCGGATGAAGAAAAAGAAAATAAAAAAAATCAAGCAATCACATATATAAATCCCCCCTTCGAATATAATAATAATAATAATAATAATAATGTCTGGTTTGCTTGTCTCCTGCAGTGCGGTTCCGTGTGGTGGCGTTGGACACGGCCGTCAAGATGGTGGAAGACTCTGTGGATGTATTTATCCTCAATCCGCGAGGCGTCCTGGTCAGGCGGTGGCTGTCTCGACAGGTAAGCATACACTTCTCTTTGTTATTTATTGTTTGAAGTTAGGCAAGCCTGTCTGCAAGAGTAGCACGTCTGTTCCGCACAGACTGGACGGTGGTTTGAGCCTCCATCACTCCTTGAGCGACCCACGCTCAAGGATGAAGGTGGGTATTCATCTATAAATACTCACCTATATGAGGTTGCAGGGGTCGAGTCTCAGCTCCTGGAGCTGCCTCTTCGCTGGCTACTGCTGGGTTCACTTTCTTCTGGCTTGGAGAGACCTATCGTACCTCTTTAAGCTATGGATGGATACTGCCTCTTCCACTTCACTGTCTAGGTTCCTGATACCTCTAAAGCCGAGAAAATGCTACCTGCGACAAAGGTGTTTTTAACTTTCAGCATTGTCCCCGTGTTCTTGCCTTGATATGGTTGAGTGGGTAGAGAATTAGAGCTCTTCTACTCTTCTCTGACCGCGGGTTCAATCCCGGCCGGGGTATGGTTTGCCTTCTTATTCCTCAGGCGCTGACTGATACTTAGGGGTTTAGCGCTATATTATATATATATTATATATATATATATACATGTATATATATATTATATATATATATATATATATATATATATATATATTAAAATATATATATATATATATATATATATATATATTAATATATATATTATTAACTGAAGTGTTTTGTACAGACACAGCAGCTGTCTTGCTTTGATAGCATTAACTTCTCTCTCTTTGTTATTAATCTTTTAAGATGTCTTCCTGAACAGGAAAGTCTCCTCTTGGCAGGAAACCTCAGATTAAGATTATAACCACTTGGAAGAGGGTCACACAGCACGTGGGTAATGAGGAAGGGGGGGGGGGAGGTAATCCGACTTGATGCAAGGATATGGTGGATGTCTCCATTCTTTGAATCAAGATCCTTTCACCTCTTCTTGAAGGAAGCAGGAGTCCAAGAGAGTCACTTTAGGATTTGGTTATCTCAGTAATCCTTTGTCGTAAGGAAATGTTCGGAGCATCTTTGAGTGGGGACGAGAATACTGTCCACCAATATTGTTATATAGTTAAACTCGTTATCAAAGATAGCACCGTATCCCATAAGCCCAGCCCCGTTTGATTCGATGATCTGAGAAAGGTTTCCACTCATTCCAGATGCAGTCAAAGGAATAGTACAAAGTGTTACATATAGTACGGGGTGTTGCATAAGTTTATAACGCAGTTAAGTATCAGCATTGAAGATCTGAAAGTAATCAGAAGCAGTGGCTGTGCTTCGAGAGTAGAACTTTTTAAACTGTTTACGGGTATGATGTGTCGTCACCCTTTATTACAATATTCATTACCGAGGAGTAGCACCTCTTAACGTATACACTGTCTAGTTATATGAACATGTATATGGAGGTTGGATAGACGGTGGTGGTAGTTTGCAATATATTTTCCAAAACATTATACAGGCTGCCCTAGCCACGTATATTCCTGATTTAGAAATTAGATGAAAAATAAATGACCCTAAGTGAGTAAAACGAGAGGTATTTACAGGCGAATCAAAAGAGGTGAAGGTCGTCACCTTTTGGCGTATTTATTGGATTTAAGAAAAGAAAAGTAAAAAGTGAATAGAACATTAAGGTTGAGAGGAAATCAAAGATCAGCCCAAAGGGTCTCTAACAATAATATATAAGGATTAAGATTAAGGGAGAAAGACAGACCCACTTAAATATAACTTAGTTTAGCTTACTATTAGTGATTATGAAAAGTGTGGAAAAAATACACAGTTGCAGAGGGGATATTTTTTGAGATGTTTCGCCTGTGGAACAGCTTAAGTCTGTTAATGAAGAAGCCTGTGATATAGGCGAAACGCCTCAACAACTAGTCCCTTTGCAATTGTCATTTTTCTCCATATGTCGGCTTGTGCCATTTGTCTCGAGAGAAATGTGCACAATTTTTAACACTTATTTCCTCTCTGGCTTTCACACAGAAGGATAGAAAGAAAATCCCAGATAACAATAATTATACAGGCGATAATAAATGAAAGGTCAAAGTCACTAGCGACATGGTCGTCAAATAATTAGACAGATTGAAACCAAACAGGTCGCGGGTCTTGATCAGCTGTTTTCAAGAACTCTGGAGGATTGTAAGGAAGAGAATTCAGCAATCCATGAGGTTGTCTCCTTAATAAAGCACCATAAATGAATCATACAGGATAAGAGAAAATTGGCAAATGTGATAATTTGATAAAAGAATCTCAGAATGATTTTTACGAATGGGCAATTTGCTTATGAATTGACAAGGTGGACAGAGACATGATATTCCAGAGATGGGACACAGCAACAAGGAGTCACAATTGGAAATTAAAGACTCAGACAAGTCACAAGGATGTTAAGAAGTACTTCTTCAGTCATAGAGTTGTCTGGAAGGAAGCATACATAACTTTAAGAAGAGGTATGATAAACCTCATGGAGCACGGAGTAAGTGATCTAGTAGCCACCAGTGAAGAGGCGAGGTCAGGATCTATGAATCGACCCCTGCAACCACAATTAGGTGAGTACAATTAGATGAGCACACACCACACACACACACACACACACACACACACACACACACACACACACACACACACACACACACACACACACACACAAAGAGAAACAACAGTGAAGCACCAGGGAGGTCCATGAAAACATACACCAGAGACTTGACTGTGCCCCAACAATGCAATGACCCCTCTTACCTAGCACGAGCCTGGGACCTGCTGAATGTAATTAGCCTGGGAGACCTCAGGTGAAAAAGGAACCTGTGGACGGTATTCAGCGAGTCTGCCTCCTGCTAAAGGGACCTTCTCTCTCTCTCCTTTTTTTTTGAGCTACTCAACTTTGCTAAGTATTTTTCCGGGTATAGCGAGGACTTTGTTGTGGAGCATTTCTCTCTCTCTCTCTCTCTCTCTCTCTCTCTCTCTCTCTCTCTCTCTCTGAGGTTCCACATAATAAGTTCGCGTAAATATTTTACAAGTCCTGGGCTGGCGGGTCACTGTAAGAGTGTAAATGATGTGCCTGACACACTACTACCGTGACACTGTAAATGTTGTGCCTGACACACTACTACCGTGACACTGTAAATGTTGTGCCTGACACACTACTACCGTGACACTGTAAATGTTGTGCCTGACACACTACTACCGTGACACTAGATGATGCGCCTGACACTACTACCGTGACAATAAATGATGCACCTGACACTCTACTACCGTGGCACTGTAGATGTTGCACCTGACACACTACTACCGTGACACTGTAAATGATGCGCCTGACACTCTACTACCGTGACACTGTAGATGATGCGCCTGACACGACTACCGTGACAATAAATGATGCGCCTGACATACTACTACCGTGACACTGTAGATGATGCACCTGACATACTACTACCGTGACACTGTAGATGATGCGCCTGACATACTACTACCGTGACACTGTAGATGATGCACCTGACACACTGCTACCGTGACACTGTAGATGATGCACCTGACACACTACTACCGTGACACTGTAGATGATGCGCCTGACATACTACTACCGTGACACTGTAGATGATGCACCTGACACACTACTACCGTGACACTGTAGATGATGCGCCTGACACTACTACCGTGACACTGTAGATGATGCACCTGACACACTACTACCGTGACACTGTAGATGATGCGCCTGACACACTACTACCGTGACACTGTAGATGATGCGCCTGACATACTACTACCGTGACACTGTAGATGATGCACCTGACACACTACTACCGTGACACTGTAGATGATGCACCTGACACACTACTACCGTGACACTGTAGATGATGCGCCTGACACACTACTACCGTGGCACTGTAGATGTTGCACCTGACACACTACTACCGTGGCACTGTAGATGATGCACCTGACACACTACTACCGTGACACTGTAGATGATGCGCCTGACACACTACTACCGTGGCACTGTAGATGTTGCACCTGACATACTACTACCGTGACACTGTAGATGATGCGCCTGACACACTACTACCGTGGCACTGTAGATGTTGCACCTGACACACTACTACCGTGGCACTGTAGATGATGCACCTGACACACTACTACCGTGACACTGTAGATGTTGCACCTGACACACTACTACCGTGACACTGTAGATGTTGCACCTGACACACTACTACCGTGACACTGTAGATGATGCACCTGACATACTACTACCGTGACACTGTAGATGATGCACCTGACACTCTACTACCGTGACACTGTAGATGATGCACCTGACACACTACTACCGTGACACTGTAGATGATGCACCTGACACTCTACTACCGTGGCACTGTAGATGATGCACCTGACACTCTACTACCGTGGCACTGTAGATGATGCGCCTGACACTGCTAGTCATAAGCAAAGCTTAGACAGTGATTAAGCTTTCGGTTTATCCAGACGCTTAATATCTCCAACACTGACTTACTACACTATATAATACCGCATGTGAATTATATTTTTTATATTATTATAGAGTTTTTTATATATATTGCCTCCTCAACCAGGCAACAGCCTGGTTGAATTTTATAACAAGCAACAGCGTGGTTGAGCAGGTAGTTAACGAGGCAGTCTGGCCTCAGGCTGAGAGGTTTTCCTTGTTGATCAGCATCTCTGACCACCACCGTCACCGGGATATCATATATCACAGGCAATTATAGCAAATGGTTTTACAAATAATTACTTTCTTGCCTCCATCTCTTCCTGTATTGGTGTGGGAAATAGTTAGAGGGATGTGGGAGAGTGATGGAGGGGTGTTCGAGAGAGTTGGAGGTGAGAGGGGGTTAAAGGGAGTGTTGGAGTGAGTTGGACGTGATTGGGAGTTTGAGAGGTGTGGGAGCTGGAGAGGTGTGGGAATGAGTAGGAGTTGGAGGAGTGTTGGAGTGAGTAGGAGTTGGAGGGTTGTGGGAGTTGGAGGGGTGTGGGAGTGAGTGAGAGATGGAGAGGTGTGAGAGT